GTGTAACCCCATTTCAACACTCCAGGTTCAGTTATCAACGACCAGAAAGTCTTGAAAGAAGTTAATGGCTCCTTTGCCAAAACTCTGGGTTTGGAGGAAAGTTGTCCCTGAGGAAGCCCAAGCATTGGGCTTAGTAGTCAAAGACAGCAAAGCACCTGTTTTAAAGATGCTGAGAGATGGGCTACAGGAGGTGGGCGCTGCTGGGCAGGGACCTGTGACAATGCCTTGGTGGCGATCTCCTGTCCCAGGGAGAAGGGGGCTCTGTACTCTGCCCTTCGCTCCAGCCCATACCCAGGGCCTTTGTCCAGTGATCCACATGGGGATTAAGGCTGCACAGCACAGCCTGCAGGAATTCCTCTGCCCGACTGACAGCCAGAGCAGTACCTTCAACTTGGGACTGTGGGTATAGGAAGAGAATGCCCATAAGAAGGATTGCAAAGGGACCCCAGGCCTCCAGGATGGAGGGACCAGTGGACAGGAAGCGATGAGGGAGTTACACCTGAGCCCTCCAGGTTTGGGAACTGCTCTTGGGGCTCAGGAGTCAATGAAGCGGTTGTGAATGTGTTTCTCTCCACATAGCATTTCCCATGAGGATGGGTTCACATCTGGTCCTTTTCGTGCTCTGGGTTTTTCTTGTAAGCAGTAGGTTTTGAACTGAGTGACTCCTTCCTTCGCAGGCAGGCAATCTGCCACTGGAGCCATGCCCCATCTCTTTTTGGTTTTTTTTTTTTTATGTATTAAAATATACAGTAACTTAGGGGCTGGGAAGATAGCTCAGCGGTAGAGTGCTTGCCTTGCAAGCATGAGGCCCTGGGTTCAATTCCTCAGCACCACATAAACAGAAAAAGCCGGGAGTGGTGCTGTGGCTCCAGTGGTAGAGCGCTAACCTTGAGCTGAAGAGCTGAGGGACAGCGCCTAGACCTAGAGTTCAGGCCCCATGACAGGCAAAAAAAAAAAAAAAGACAAAAAATAAATAAATAAAAATAAAATATACAGTAACTCAGACCTTAAATAAACAACAACAACAAAAAAGATGTTTGGGGCTGGGGGGTTAGCCCAGCGGAAGGGCGCCCTGCACAAGGCCTGGGTTCGGTCCTCAGCCCTGGAAAAAAAAAGAAAAAAGATGTTTGGTGACGAAGAAAACTATGGAGACCCTGAAGTGTTCCAGGAAGTCAGGAGGAGGAGGGCATTCCAGTCATGAGGATTCTAATAAGAAGATAGAAACTCAGGGCTGGGAAGGTGGCTCAGTGGTAGAGAGCTTGCTTTACATTCATGAGGCCCTGGGTTCGATTCCTCAGCACCACATAAGCAGAAAAAGCCAGAAGTGGGGCTGAGGCTCAAGTAGTAGAGTGCTAGTCTACAGCTGAAGAGCTGAGGGACAATGCCCAGACCCAGAGTTCAGGCCCCACGACTGACTGGGAAAAAAAAGAAAAGATAGAAACTGTAATGAGGTCAAGGATCCCTAGGGAACAGATGATGGACTCATAAACAAATCTTTCTTAAGGGAAATTAGCAAAAGGGAATTAGCAGCTAATTGCAACCTGCTGGGAACACTCCTAGGTATTGGGAATGCAGAAGCAGCCTTGTGTAATGACAAGCAGGGGGTGGGGGGGCGGGGGGGGGTATCCGTGGAGCTCCCCCAATTTCCTAGCATCTGGCAAACCAAGCAGAGTACAGAAGCTAAAATGCCTGCTTACCAGCTAAAGTGCAGGGGTATTTCTCAGAATGAGCCGCCCACAAAGTCACCCTGTGCTAGCTCTCCTCTGAGGGGAGCTTTACCCAGGGACATCTGGTGGTTGCTGGCTTGGCTTCATTTACATAGCTCCCAACAACACCGTGGCTCCTCTCTTGTCAATTGCCTGGACAGGCCAGTTGCCAGTGGCTCACGCCTGTAATCCTAGCATCCATCTCTGGAGGCTAAGATCTAAGGATCATGGTTCAAAGCCAGCCTGGGCAAAAAAGTTCTTGAGACTCTTATCTCCAACAAACTACTCAGAGAAAGCTGGAAGTGGTCCTTGGCTCAAGTGGTGGAGTGCTCTTCTTGAACAAAAAGAGGTTCAAGGACAGCACCCAGGCACCTGTTAGGTTTTTAAAAAGAGGTAGCCAAGTAAGAACAGCACCAGCACGCACGTGGTATTCAGGTAAGGGGTACGTTTATTCAGTAGACCTGCTGGGACCAGGCAAGGTTGGCACTCCACGTGGCTGAGAAAGGCCTGGGAATGAGAGAGAGCTGGGAAAGAGAGGAAAGAGGTAGAAAAGAGCAGAAAGAGGGGTAAGAACAGTAGCACTCACGTGGTATTCAGGTATTCAGAAGACCTGCTGGGACCAGGCAAGGTTGGCACTCCACGTGGCTGGGAAAGAGAGAGGAAAGAGCTAGAGCAGAGAGAGCTAGAAAAGAAGAGCAAGAGCAAGAGAGCTAGAAAAGAAGAGCAAGAGAGCGTCTGGGCCTGGGCTAGGTCTTATGTACGGTATGGGCGGGGAAAGGTGTGGCCACATCAAATTCAGATGTGACCTCAGCGGATGCAGATGTGACCTCTTCCAGGTGTCCCAGTTGCCTAGGTAACGCAGGTACTGGGTGGAGACTTTGCTGCGAGGAGGGTGGAGTCTGCTAGCCATCCAGGAGCGGACCTTACAGCACCCAGTTGAAAACCCATGACCGGAAAAAAAAATGGACTAGAATCCAATATTCTGGATGCAAAGACAAAAACTGAAATGAACATTCACCAAGGGTATTCTGCAGCAGACCGGGGAGGGACTGAAACGAAAGGAGGCAAGGGAAGGGCAGTTTCTGCTGCAATACCAGCAGACGCCTGGCCAGTGCACGGGCAGAGGAGAGTGGTCAGTGATGAGTCAGAGAGCGCTTCCAGAGAATTCTAAGAACCTCTGATAGTAGAAACTCCAGTCTATGCAAAGAAACCCTCACTTTTTGTGTCTTGCCGGTCGAGCCCTCGGCTCCGCCGCTCCAGGCGGGCGCTCCGCCGCTGAGCCACCTGCCCAGCCCCGAACCCTCACGTTTTATGGAACCCGTCTCAAACAGGATGCTCGGTTGGGTGGCCGGGCAGGCCGTTTGCGGTCGGTGCGCGCACGCGGGCAGGACGGCCCGGCCACGCCCCCCCCCCCCCAGCCGTCGCCTGGAGCTTGGGCTCCGGAGGGCGGTAGTGCGCACGCGCGCGGGCTCGCACCGCCCGCACGCGCCGAGCCGCTGGATGGCGTAGCTGCGTCCTGGAGGAACTTGTTCCTGGCGGGCCGCCGTCGCCCCCTATATAAAAGCAACCCTGCCGACTTTCGCGCCCTCTTTGCGGCGGCGATGGCTGCCGTGGCTCCGTGCGCCCGCTCGCTGGCGGCAAAGATGGCGCTGCTCGGCCGGCCGCCTTGCTGCCCGGGCGGGTTCGCGCCCCTCGCCGAGCGGCCGGGGCGCTCCCCGTGTGCGCTGCCCGTGTGCTGCGCGGGTCCGGGCGGCCGGGGCGCTCCCCGTGTGCGCTGCGGGTCCGGGCGGCCGGGGCGCTGCCCGTGTGCGCTCCCCGGGTGCGCTGCCCGTGTGCTGCGCGGGTCCGGGCGGCCGGGGCGCTCCCCGTGTGCGCTCCCCGTGTGCGCTGCGGGTCCGGGCGGCCGGGGCGCTCCCCGTGTGCGCTCCCCGGGTGCGCTGCCCGTGTGCTGCGCGGGTCCGGGCGGCCGGGGCGCTCCCCGTGTGCGCTGCCCGTGTGCTGCGCGGGTCCGGGCGGCCGGGGCGCTGCCCGTGTGCGCTGCCCGTGTGCTGCGCGGGTCCGGGCGGCCGGGGCGCTGCCCGTGTGCGCTGCCCGTGTGCTGCGCGGGTCCGGGCGGCCGGGGCGCTGCCCGTGTGCGCTGCGGGTCCGGGCGGCCGGGGCGCTCCCCGTGTGCGCTGCCCGGGTGCGCTGCCCGTGTGCGCTGCGGGTCCGGGCGGCCGGGGCGCTGCCCGTGTGCGCTGCCCGTGTGCTGCGCGGGTCCGGGCGGCCGGGGCGCTGCCCGTGTGCGCTGCGGGTCCGGGCGGCCGGGGCGCTCCCCGTGTGCGCTGCCCGGGTGCGCTGCCCGTGTGCGCTGCGGGTCCGGGCGGCCGGGGCGCTGCCCGTGTGCGCTGCCCGTGTGCTGCGCGGGTCCGGGCGGCCGGGGCGCTGCCCGTGTGCGCTGCCCGGGTGCGCTGCGGGTCCGGGCGGCCGGGGCGCTGCCCGTGTGCGCTGCGGGTCCGGGCGGCCGGGGCGCTGCCCGTGTGCGCTGCCCGGGTGCGCTGGGGGTCCGGGCGGCCGGGGCGCTGCCCGTGTGCGCTGCCCGTGTGCGCTGCCCGGGTGCGCTGGGGGTCCGGGCGGCCGGGGCGCTGCCCGTGTGCGCTGCCCGTGTGCGGCGCGGGTCCGGGCGGCCGGGGCGCTCCCCGTGTGCGCTGCCCGTGTGCGGCGCGGGTCCGGGCGGCCGGGGCGCTCCCCGTGTGCGCTGCCCGTGTGCGGCGCGGGTCCGGGCGGCCGGGGCGCTCCCCGTGTGCGCTGCCCGGGTGCGGCGCGGGCCCGGGCGGTCGGCGGGCTTGCAGGGCTTGGCACGCTCTCGACCCGCCACTTGAGCCACAGCGCCGCGCACAGCTTTTCGCTCGTTCATTGGAGGTAATCACCCTGTTTTTGGTCAGTCGTGGGGCTTGAACTCGGGGCCTGGGCGCTGTCCCTCAGCTCTTCAGCTCAAGGCGAGTGCTCTACCACTCCACTTCCGGTTTTCTAGGGATTAATTGGAGATAAGTCTCACGGACCTTCCTGCCGGGGCTGGCTTTGAACCACGATCCTCAGATCTCAACCTCCTAAGAGACTTTTTTGCCCCATCCTGCATCAGCTGAGATTCCAGACATGACCGAGCAGCCCTCTGGGACCGTTTGCAGGGTCCCACTGTGGACTAGCCTTGACCTGTGCGGAATTTTCAGAGGAAACTAGGCATCTGTAAGGAGATGGCGATGCTGACATCGTGGGTAAGCTGGTGTTTGAAAGCATGGGTGACTTCACCGTAATGCTGCCCCTAGAGGCGTTGCAGGTGTGGCTGCCGTGTCACACGTGTGTCCACAGGTGGCAGAGAGCAGAGAGGCTATGTCTACGCTCAGTGTTCTAACCTGTGAACATCTGAATGATTAGTAGCCTGACACCTGATTGTGTGTCCACGCTGCAGTCGCCAGAAGAGGTGAAAGAACTTTTACTTATGCGTTGACTTGCTGAAAATAGTAGCCTGCAGGGTTCACTCCCTGAGAAAGCAGGGCGTGATCAGCCCCACTCTGACCAGGCTGTTCCAAGGGTAATAGGGCAAGTTCCTTTCTCTAGGAAGGTAGTAGTCACACTGCTGAGTGTTAGGTTTTTAAAAAGAGGTGGCCGAGTAAGAACTGCACCACGCACGTGGTATTCAGGTAAGGGGTAGGTTTATTCAGTAGACCTGCTGGGACCAGGCAAGGTTGGCACTCCACGCGGCTGGCAAAAGGAAAAAAAAAGGGCGGTCTGGCCGCGGTTTAGGCCTTATATAGGGTAGGGGGTGGGGAAGGGTGTGTCCAGGTAAAGGGAAGTGGGATCAGGTGGGAGAAAGGTGTGGCCACATCAGGTTAAGATGTGACCTCAGCGGATGCGGATGTGACCTCTTCCAGGTATCCCAGTTGCCTAGGTAACGCAGGTACTGGGTGAGGTCTGTTCGCCGTCCAGGAATGGACCTTACACTGAGCACTGCCAAGGCAGTGAGCTGCGGACTTTGTAATCTTCCAGTGACCATCAGGAATGGTGGTTCTGCCCCCACCACAGTTAAAAAATGAGGATTTGTGAGATTGTCCTAATGTTTTATGAGGTGGAGAGGTGCGGCCGTGGTTCCAGCTATTCACCCTCCGCAGGAGCGTGTCCCGTGAAGAAGAGTGCTGTACCCTGACTGGCTGTTCTCTATTTCAGGGAGAAAGGTGATTATGCCTGCTTACAGTGCAAGTCAAGGCCAAAATGGTGGCCACCAGCTGGCCTACTCCAGGTGAGAAGAGGCTGGCTGCGGCTGGTATGAGCAACTGCCCTGCAGATGCTGTCCCGCACGCGCCAGCACCACAGGCACGGCTGCCATGCTGCACCTGTGACGTCGGGGCAAAGAGCAAGTGGCTATTTCTACGCTCAGTGTTCAGAAGCCAGTGAGCACTAAGAATGGTTTATAGCCTAACATTTCACAGCCAAAATGGAAGCATGGGATGGGATGTGGCATAGCTTGGTGTGGTTAGGGGAGGCATGAGAAAACACCTGGCAGCATAACTGCTGGGGGAAGGGGGGGGACCCTTGAGATGTGGAGCAGAGTGCACAAAGAATTGCTCACAGCCAGGCCTTGTCCTAGGACTGAATCACCTGAAAAGTTACTTCCTGGTTCCAGAAAAGCCCTGGTCTGGTCCGTGCTTGGCTTGCTAGCTCATAGTGGCTACTTCAGCCACTTCCCCAGGCTAGCACTTTGTTGCCTAGGCTTGGCTTTCAGATTTCAGACTCCTGAACAGCCAGGATTACAGGCCTGAGCCACAGATGGCCAACCATCATCTCTTTTCATTTTCCAGAGATGATGCAGGGACGCCCTGCCGCTGGTTTCTGCTGTTGTGGCCAAGTCCCGTTCGCCAGTTCCGAGTGCCTCCGGGATGAACTTGGATTTGTGTGCTGGCGTGTAAAGGATACATTGCCCTTTGCTCTCAGTTCCTGGTATGATTGCCACTGGCTAGCTGCCCTTGTTGGCTTGGGTAGCTGGGGTCACAGGAATACACTACGCCACTAGCTGGACCCCTGGGTGCAAAGCATACTGTCTTTGGCTGTTTCCTGCATGGTGAAGTTTATGTCCCAGTTATTAAAAGATGTTTGTTTATGTGGATGTTGCCTTTTTTTTCCCCCTGGGTCTGGAGCCTGAACTCTGGGTGCTGTCCCTGAGCTCTGCTCAAGGCTTAGCACGCTACTCTGCCCCTTGGAGGCACAGTGCCACTTCCAGTTTTCTAGAAGTTAACGAGTGTGGACTGCCTGGGCTGGCTTTGAAACAGGGTCTTCAGATCTTAGACCACCTGAATAGTTAAGTGTCAGGTATCTAAATACCTCCCCTTTCTGGAATACCTTTGTCTTGCTCAGTCCACCATTACTTGAAGCCTGGTCACTACTTTAGGCTCCAGAGGTAGAAAGGAGCACTTAGTTGACATACAACCCCTTAATTGGCTCTCTAGTGGGGTGAGAGGAAAGCTGGCTTCTGGGCCTGTGGTCTGCATTTGCTGTGTTCCCTGCTAAGCACTTGGGACTCTGGGGGGGTCCAGCGCTCCACATGCCATGTGTCACATAAAAGTGGTTTATTTACATGAGTTCTAAGTGAGGTCCCCTCCCAACTGGAGCTTGCCTCCTGCTGCTGCTGACAGACCACGGGGTTCCAGGAGCCCTGGTCCTGGCACGGGTGAGGAGTGGTGGAGGGCGGGGCATCCAGGCGTCAGGAATACTTGGTGTTAGAGATCTTCTTCCAGAGCAGGGTCTTGAGGTGGCTGAGCACGAGCGAGTGGTGGGCCTCCACCTGGCTGGCCAGCCCGCTCAGCGTGGTGCAGGTGCGCAGCTGCTTGCCCAGCTCCTCGCTGAGATCAGCAGGCGCGCCCGGCAGCAGATAGTCTCGCAGCAGCTCGCACACCTTGGCCAGGTTGGGCTGGATGAGGTCACCCTTGCACTGCCTCATGAGCCTGTCACATGGTGCCCGGCAGTCCCGCCCATAGGTACAGTCCGAGCTCTGCTCACAGTGGCGACCCTGCAGGAAGCGCCGCACAGTGGCTTCAGGTGCCACCTGCTGCAGGTCAGCCATCTTGAAGTCATAGGTGGCCGTGTAGGCCACATTGGCGAGTGTGGTCTCGCACATGTAGAAGGAGCCATATGCGCCATGGAAGAGCTCCTCCACAAACTCCAGGAGGCCGATGGCAATCTTGGCGCGCCAGGGCCAAGCAGGACTGAACCACTGCTGGATGGCTCTGTGCAGGGCAGAGGGCAGCATTGCATGCAGGGCTGGTGGCAGTGTGGTCCCGTGCCAGGAGCCATGGGGGGTGCCCTCGGTAAGGTAGAGGTCCCCACAGTAGCCCAGCAGCTGAGAGGCATGCTCCTTCTCCTGCAGGGAGAGCAGCAGCAGGAACTCGTTTCGCTGCAGCAGAGCCCACACGGACTTGGCCTCAGCCAGGGACACCCTGCTGTCCTTGTTGAAGTCAGCCATGAGGAGGACCTGGCCCACAAGCGCTGGGAGGGAGGGCAGGTCTCCCAGGTTCGCCTGGCACCAGAACCCAAAAAGAAGGCAGGTGTTGGGAGCTGCAGGAGCACAGGCCCTCATGCATGCTTGTCAGCAGCTGAAGCTCCAGGGGCTTGCACGTCCCTGGACACATCACAGCCCAACCAGACCCACACACCCAAGCCCACTGACCTTCAGGAAGCTGAGGGTCATCTCCCGGAACTCCTTGATGGAGGTGCCCCTGGTGGGCTTGTCAAACAGCACCAGCTCCCGCCGAGGGGTCTGGGGGTTCAAGGATTCCTTGATGCCACACTTGATGGTCACCTCCTTGTCCTGCCAAAGTCCACTATACACCTGGACAAGACGAGAAGGTACTCCAGCTAAGTGATCCCTCCCACTGCAATGTGGCCACACCCAGGCCCGCCCGGCCCTGCCCGGCCCTGCACCTGCCACTCTGGAGCCGAGGACAAGCAGGTTCTCCATTCCACCCTGTTGAGCTCACACAGGTCCCGGCAGATGGAGCCAGAGATGATGCCCTTGTGGTACTGGTCACACTGAAAAGACAGGTGCCCACTGTGGTCACTCCCCCCGGGGCCCCAGAGCAGGGGGCCAACCGGCAAGGCTAAGCTGCCATGGGTGGATGTGAGAGTGGGCACTTTGGCCCACAGCTGGTCACACTTGCCAGTCTGCCCCAGCACCCACTGCCCAGTTCTGAGTCCTGGCACACGCAGAATGGGCCTGGCTGCTGCCAGTGACACAGCTGACCCAGCGTCCCTGTGTCCCAGCTCCTGAGGGCGCTGCCTGGCCTTTGAAGCTGATCCAGAGGCCTTGCCACCTGACAGGCCTTCCAGGCCAGGCTTTTGTTTTTTTGTTTTTTTTGGCTTGGGCACTGTCCCTCAGCTCTCCAGCTGTAGACGAGCGCTCTATCACTTGAGCCTCAGCCCCACTTCCAGCTTTTTCTGCTTATGTGGTGCTAAGGAATCGAACCCAGGACCTCATGCGTGTAAGGCAAGCATTCTACCACTGAGCTGCCTTCCCAACCCTTCTAGCCCAGGCTTTAAGTGAGCCTGTCTCAGAACTAGAGGTCCCCTCCAAGAGACTGGACCACGGTCTTCAGTGAAAGCGTGGGCCTGCTAGAGGGACCTTGATCATGGACATCTAGACCTCAGGATGACAGAAGTACGGGGGGCTGGGGCTGAGCCTGAGGTCACCACCAACGGCTCGGCTCTGGAGTCCAGAGTGGCTGGAGGTTCCCAGGCAGCTCCTCAGCACAGCGGCTCAGCAAGTGTCAGGTCACTCCACCCATCCTCAGACCAAGGTCTGGCTCAGCCCACCCTAGACTGAAGTAAGACAGCAACCCCACAGTGCGGACCTGGTCCTGCGGTTGCTGTGGTGCACTGCCACAGGCCCCTTTCTTGGCCCATGCTGAGAAGGTAACTAACTTCTAGCTCCTCAGGGCTGCTGGTGACAGACGCCCTCCCAGGGCCCACAATTCCTCCTCTGTCCAGGCTACCCAACTAGCCAGACTCCTGAGACCCTCCTGGGGGCATGGAATCTGGCAGTCCCTGATCCTCATGAGCATCACTGCTGCTATGGAGCCAGGCCTGGGGGGATGGGGGAGAGGCTGAGCACACCACCACCACTCTGGGTGTAGGAACCAGAGCTGAGCCAGGAGGAAGTGGCGGTCCAGTGGCAGCAGGAAATGATACTGGCTCTTCATTTGCAAGCCTGCCTTCTGGGCCAGGCCCTTCCCTAGAGGTCAGCGCTGGTTACAGGCCTTCCACACGACAGCCTGAGCCCCAGCAACCCAAGGCCGCCTGCGGGAAGAAGTCACCATAGCCACCCAGGCGGGGGGCGTCTCCCCTCCCCACTGTCCAAGGGCACCATGTCCATCCTGGGGAGGGAATGGCAAGTCTGCACA